GGTTGGATGTGATTCTATTATTTATCTTACGGTTTACGAGTAGTTTCGGAAGTTAACACTTAAGACATAAAATGCAGAAGGCTAGAATAACTTTGTTTTAATTTCGAGGTGCTGTTTTGCATGGAAAGCATTTAGGGTCAAGCTCAAGGGACAGATGAGGATATTTTCAGCTACATATCTTTTGAAGAAAATCTTGGGAACCGATAGATTTCCATAGTCGGATTTTCAGCGCTCGATGAAAATTTTTGCACAGGTGATGAAAAATGAGGTGTTTTTAGGAACTTTTGGTTGGTTTGTGAACGAAAACGGCTTATTGTAATTATTTTTGTTTTGAGGAAGGCATGTAAAGCATGGACCGAAGCGTTGGTAGTGGTCTCCGTCCGTTGGACCAATTATTTTCATTTTTAATTATATTTTATGTTCATAGTTATTCTGGCACCATTTAGTCGTGAACAGCGTCACGTGGGCTTTTGTTCTTTGCAGTCTAAAAATGTTTCTTTCAGACGGGTACCATCGAAGAAAAAATATTCCAACGACAGACGCATAAGAAGGCGTTGAGTTCTTGCGTCGTGGACAACGAGGAAGACGTCGAACGGCATTTTAGCTTGGACCAACTGAAAGATCTCTTCACTCTTCGTTCCGGAACTCCGAGTGACACCCATGACACGTAAGCATGTTTACTTCATGTATTTTTTAGGTTATGGTTCATTTGTGTATACCACTCACTATAGTTGGTTAGACACTACTGCACCAGACCGGATTGCCGTCGTTTAATACCCTGGGCTCTTCTCTCTAGATGTTTAGGGACCCATTTAAATAAGCCATAATCCCTTATTGTTTGCCATTTGATTACATGCATTGCTATATGCATTGTGTATAATTTTTCTAGCTAGAGCAAAATATTGTTCATCATTAATAATGTTTTAGAAGTCGGTCTCTTTCTGTGGTTTTGTTGAAGCGTCAGAAACATGCATTCATATCTTCGCGCAGCCTAACGTAATGGACGTCGTCGTAAAGCCTTGATGGAGCTATGCACTTAGTAAAACAGTATTATGAACATCCGGTTCTTTCGCGTAGAACATGCGGCCATCCGTAGTTAGTGTAGGGAGTAGTTATGATTTCCAGTTATTTAGTTCCCCTGATTTTTGACAAATAGCTTATTCTCGCTAACTTCAAATCTGAGTCCTCATGAGCAGATCATAAAATTTCTCATCGTCTTTGAAAAGATTTATTTTGAGCAGTATTTGTTTTATTGCATTTGGTATTTGTTATTGTAATTATGGTATTGTTAATTTATTTTAACCTTCCTTGCTGAAAATATTCGAATTTTTTGGTATTCAAATCGATTAGCGAACTGTAACAGTGTCAAATAATCACTGCTTGGCGCCTTTCCAGATTGAAATGCAAACGATGCATCAACGGAATTGAGGCGTCGCAGCCGCCTGACTCTGCGGATACCAATTCTGACCTCTCCTTGTGGCACCATTGTAGAGACAAGCGCCGTCTTCCTGATAACGCCTTGAAAACGGTTTGGGAAAATGGCAAGATCACGTTTGCATTTTACCAAAAATCTCACGACGAGAAGGTTCTGCCATAGAGTTAATTATGGATGCGGAAAAAGTATCCTTGTTTTCAAAATATATCTTTGAATTTTAATTTGCTTCGAAATTTTTTACGTTTATGCAGAAAATTAATTTTTTTGCTTGATTATTAGCGGGGATAACTACGCGTAAAATCTCTTACAAAAAATTTATCATTTTGAGCTTTGCTCCGCTCACCTATTGCAAATATCAGGCAATACAATTAGTAAAGTTGCCGCAATAGTCTATAGTTAAGATGTTGGCTTGGCGCTTTAAGAACATGCATAGATATTGTTAAAATCCGTTTTGTTATGAAAAGATTGTTTTCTGGAGTCATACTCTCGTCTGTATTAGCCCTTAGCCATAGTGTTTAACATCTGTGTTGTCTACCGTGATAGCTTTAGTAAGGTGTTTAGTTGGGTCGCTTGTTTTCTTGGAACAGCTGCATCAGACTGTCTCCAATAATATCAATCCTATTTCTTTTGTATGCAGGTAGTAGAGTTGTCAGATTTGAAGTAGAGCCGTCTGAGTTGTTCCGTATTAACGATGGATTTCTCCAAGGCGTTGTACCGAACTTTTCTTTTCATAACACTTGTTAGTTACCGTGGCAAAAATAAACGTCGCTTTCGAGTGGAAACCCGCACTTCAAGACATTCATCTAGATGCCTTTATGACCTGTAATATACAGGTGATATTGTCGGATTCGAGCTCTGTCACTTGACGACTTCCGTATGGAATACAGCTGTAGCCGTGAAAGCCAACATCTTCCTTAACGCCTGGAAAACAAAAGCTACGAGAAACTAATCCGACACAACTGATCTACAAGTGTAACATGGAAGTGAAGCGTTTCAGGCAGTTCAACAATTTCAGTACCTCTTCTCCACCATCTCAAGCGATAGCGCTATCTAGCCAGAGTTAATTAGGAGGATCGCCCTGGCCTCAACTGCTTTTGAAAACCTGTGCAATATTTTAACTTAGAATGGAGTTGCTCTTCCCACAAAAACCTGCTTCAACCTTGCCTCTGTCCGGTCACTGCTGTTGTACAGCTGGGCGACAAACGAAAAAGCAGAAACGACAGTTAGCTTCGGCGCATATTGAGGATTAAATGCCTTGACCACATAAAGAATGCTGCATTCGTTTTCAGACACGTGGGATCTCATAAGATATGGAAATAAGGAAAAAGTTTTTGGCCCTGTTAAACAAACTGGTCTGGATATACCATTTACCCCAGCCCATGAGCTTCTCATGTGGGAGTCGAAGCACGGCAGATATCGACCAGGATGCCAGCATGGAACATGGTAAAACAAAGTAATGGCAGATCTACTTTTGGCGAGAAATATTTCTTTCTGCGATGCAGTAATCAATGCCTTGTAGTAAAAGTATTGAAAAGCCGCAGATATATTGTACATTACAAATCAAAGACGTTTTGCTTATGCAAACGACTCGAGGTGATGATCTGGTCAGCAACAACCTTTCAGACACTTTTCCGTAGACTATTACCGGGAGGCTCAGTAAAGTAGTTCCCCGATAACTGGAGCACCTGCGGTTTTCCTTCTTCAACATAGTACTACTAACTACCCTTGTTCTCCAGTTCATTGGTTTCTTCACGGTAGTCATTGCACTTTGATAGACACTTTAGCCACAACATTCCTTTTTTGCCTAAAGCTTTAAGCATTTCAAGGCAGATTTAATCGATTCTGACAGCATTGCCATTTTTCAAGCCTTTTGCAGCTTCTGTAACTTCGTTTGCTGGAAGATTAGTGGCTGTGGTGTGCTTATTTTCCTGAGTTGTTTCTGGGATTGCTCAGGGTTGAAGTTCCTCAGAGTGCTCTGACAATCACCGAATAACATCCTCTTCCTTGGTAAAAGGGTATCAGGACTTCTCCTTCGGAGCTTTCAATCGACCCTTTTTAATGTTTAACATAAATTCATTAAATTGAATATGCAAGTTTATGGCAGAACGTAAAATTCTATTTTTTGTTCCAGATACATATCAAGACCAATTTTTTGAAACCAATGTTTTCATCAGTTTTCTTCAGTCGACTTGCTGTTGGTTTGTCGTGATTGTGGGAGTCGTGGCATTGTAGTTTTGATTTAAATCTTTATCCGTCGACTGTTTTGTTTGTTCATGGTTTTTTTGAAGTTTGAATTTTCACAGTTTTCTTTATGAATTATGCGTAAATTTATTTTCAGTAAAATGTTCATATATTTTGATATACTGGATTTGTTGCTCTCTGTAAGCCAGACGAGTGATATCTTTTGCTTGCAGTGTTTTGCTTAAAAGTGATTGTTATATATTTGAATAATACACTCATAAGCTAAGTTTATGAGCTAATTTTACCGCTTGTCCATCTAAGCAAACTGTTTGCTGTGAGCAGCATCTCGATCTTCAGTACATAGTTCTCTTTCTTTTGCTTTTCTCATTCACTACAGCTCTACAAGCATTCATAAAATATTACAGTGCAGTCACCTTTATAAAACCAGCACGAAAACCGTTGTCAAGCTGTTACAACAGATGTTTTATACCAGAGACATTCTGTTTATGCAAACTGCTACATGTGATGATTACACAAACACGTGACACTGCAAACATTCGACCTTTTCGTTCCTGTAAAGAATACTAGTGGATTTTGTGAACAAACGTTATGAAGTCTTTGAAGAGTCAGTAAATACTGAACAAATTCTTGTTCCTTTTGAAACTGCGTAATGTTTCGGTACGTCATTTATGGGTGATGGGTTTTCTGATTCCATGGTTGGCAGTGCGAGAGAAGAAGAAAAATGGTTTTATTTACAATGCTTCCAATTGACGTCGGTTGAAACGTAAATAAAACGATTTTTCCTGTTCACTCGTACTGCCAACCATGGGATCAGAAGATCTATTACCTTCAAGTCATCTCCGGTATCGGCATAAGCCTTAGAAATTATTTGCGTCATATTTATGCTTGCTTTCTTTTGTAATCAGCAGACAGGAATTGTCTCTGTATTTTATTAGATTGTGTGTGGAATGTTGCATCGATCAATAATAACGGAGAGAACATCGTTTAAGTATACTAAAATTGGGTTAAGAATCAATTAGAGTTCGTTTACATCGATACTGGCAGACAGGATGATTCATGGAGGTCATTACACTGGATGTATGGTGATAGTCTTACCTTCTCTAGCATTTTGAGGCGGAGGGAAGCATTTAGGCAGGCCTGTTTCGATCATGATGTGGATGGGCAAGAGCATTATATGGCATTAACTGGGGTTTGTCGAGCAAAATCAGTGCTTCTGTTTTATTTTTCTTCGTCGGCTACTTTGCAATACATTTGACAGTTTGCATTACAGGAGGAATCCGTTGACGATGTTGCTATTTCTTGCCTCATTGTGTCTGTTAACCGGAATCTTTGGCGTAAGTGACAAATAGCTTTTTTATGCTTGTTTCTGAGGTTGTTTTTAGAAGGAAATAATTTGTCCAGACAAGAAAACGTCTTGTTCGTCTGGCGAGACTTGTTGTGAATTGATCAGTGAGGACTACGGTTGCTGCCCGCTGCCGCTTGCCGTGTGTTGCACTGACAAACTTCACTGTTGCCCACACGGAACCGTGTGTGATTTGAAGCACGTTCGCTGTGTTGTACCTTTCGGCAAGAACTACAGCAGCTATTCGAACAAGCAGTTGAACAGATTGTTTCAAAAAATAAGACTTTAGTTTTAAAATAGAAGTTGCGTTTCTAGGCGTTAGTATAAAAACTACATCTGATTCGACATGTGTCTGTTCTTTCCTAACGTTTAACCTGATTTTAGATGTATTACTTTTTGAATACTTGAATTTTTAGTTTTTTAGACTACGCGCTGGAATCATTAAATTCAGCTTGTTCGGTTTTCAAATAAACATAGTCAAACGTTGTTTCGTTAATGGTACCGGTGTGTAAAAACTGGTGAATTTTCCATAAAAATATAAAATTCTGAGAGTATAGCAGTTATAGTAGGTTATTCCTTATTCTCAAAAGTCCTTTCTATCTGATCTGCTCGGCAAGCGATTCTCAGAATTGATTTAAGTCACATCTGCAACTGTTGTTTTGTCATCATCATCATCATCTGAGGTTAACAGAACTTAAACCGCAGAATAAGCTAGATTTATATCTAACTGTAAGAAATGGTACTTCAGATTGATATTAAGCAGCGTTCATTGCTGCGATGACAAAGATCATGTTCCTTTTCGCAAATATGTCTCTCAACGAGACATTTACACTTTTTTGTGTTGGTGAACAATTTATCTGTGCGTTGCAGTTCTTCTGAGAGAGGAGCAAAAATCACCACCCATAGAAAGCAACATCGGTTCGGTATTCTCACCACTCATATGGAAAGCTCACTGTGAATGAATGTTCGATGGGCCTTGTTTTGCGGTGCATAAAATATGTAGATCATACAGTTTCGTGTTACGCTATAACACTGGAAACCGAAAGTGGTACTCGTACACCTCAAAATGTTTTCTCTACACAACAGTCAACATGTTAAACAGGTCATTTTCGTTTTGTTGATATGAAACTCAAAAAACCTCAAATTTCGAGTTCCCCGCTCACATCTTTACATCTAATCCAAAATGCCCTTCAGATTATTGTTTTACAATCTCGCAGCACAGGAGCTTGGTAAATATTTGGCGGAGCGCAAGCAATGTTATGAAGAAATCCGAGCCCGGGCAGATGGAAATACGATATTCATTGGTCACTAAGTTTAAATCAAGAGTATGCATGACTGCTTCAAACCGCGTTTAACCTTGCTTTCAGTCGCTTAGGAGGGCGGCATTTGAACACCGTGCCAGGCGCAACTCGCGTCATTCTGGTCGCAAGAGCTACAGATGTTTCAGGATCTAGTATCCTCCCTTGTGCTAATTCACAAAGATCAAATAATATAAACATCAAATGTATAAGACGTTCTTACGCCGGAATGTGTCAGATGACGGATATTTCCTCCAAGTCTTGATTTGATTACCATGAGGAGTGTTTGAACAAGATCTAGACTCGACCAGTAATATCAAACTGTCATGTATGATCGACGTTTATCGCCACTGCCGCCACAGACGCTTAAATTTCGGGTCAGTATTGCGATTTGCCATACTTAGACGAGTCTTTACGAATTTACCTTTAAAATGATCTTCACATATGTGTTGTTAATGTTTATGTGACGGTCTGATAGCTGTGTGCAATTCTGGCATGAATATTGATTTGGCTCATGCATGGTAACCCCATTGCCATTCAGGACTGATTTGCCGTTTGCGGATTCATGGACTGAATAAAATGACGGCCTATCCAAGCGTAGCAACAGACAGCATTTAGACTGCAAAGCGTATCTGAACAAGACGGAGGCAATGGAACCACGAAAATACGACCCATATGTTATAACACGTATCCAAAGAAGGTATGAAGTAATAATAAGCAGGATTACCATCGACTGATTCTAAAAGACCGTTGTCCCACATTCCTATGCTTGTGACGGTCGCATTGTTTTACGGAACATTCTCTCTGACAACGTCGACAAATGGCGCGTCAGGGTATGCCGACTGTTTCTGAGGCAGTACCTTAAGTTCATACGATTTATTTAATAAGTTTAATAAAAATACGGCAAGGAAGTAAAGCCACTGTACGAACTGAGCTACAGAAATTAAGAAAGGCGATTTGCCATTAGCCCCCACTGCCAGGAAGGAAATCAACTGCTCCTGGAAATTCATTTGCCGTTCACACATAACATTATAAAATCACAGTGTAAGAAGTGTTAAAACGAGTACTGATTGCGAAGAGTATTGAAATAATGTCTGTGCACTCTAGTCACAATCGAAAGTAGCATAGCTGAATATTTTTCACATATTGTTATCTCAGAGGTTTTGACCGTTCATCTACAATTAGTTAACCCCTGCTCATCTCTAGCTTATAATGCGATTCTAACCTTTGCGATACAGTCAATCGTAAGTATAGGAGAGATAGTCAAACGACCAAATTTCAACACCAGATTTTTGGTGCCTCAATTTGTACGCACCGAGAACGTTAATGGTAAAACTTATTGTAAGCAACAATCAACGAAGCCGATCTGAATATGACCGTATTCATATCCGTTAGATAGATGAGGAGAGTTTCTTGTAGGGAACCGTTAGCACCAATCGAACCTAAACAACATCGAAACTAATTTCATGATTGACATTCACTTTTGACGAAATTATTACCCTTTGTTCTATGGGCATTTGTCCATGTTTAAATATCCTTTTTATTTGGTCTCTATCATCAAAGTCTGCATACAGAGACAGGATCAGTAGTCGATGATGGTAGTCATGGTTCCAATTCCAAAGGAAGCGTTTCAATCGAACATCTATGTCTAAACTTTCTCCTATTTTTGGAGTTAACATCTGTCTGAAGAACTCGTTTGGCATTACTTGGCTTGATACATCCGTAAACGGCAGAGAGATGGTAATATTCAGGATTCGTGCACATGATTTTAAAGCAGACAGGATTTTCGATGCTTTCGCTCGTTATGCGAAGAACTCGACACTGCACAGAGCTAAAGTTGTATGGCAAGTCTATGAGTGATTATCAAAGTTATTTTAAGGTTCACCTGTAATGACCATCAAAAGTGATGGTGGAGGGTTCGCAGATTAGTTCTTCGTCGGGAGTAGTCATTCTTTACACTCAAATGCTTGAACAGGAACAAACAGCAACAAACGCTTGATGATCGGAATATTTGAGTTTAAAGTCGTCAGCATAACGCTGGCTACACTTTACATTCTTGGTGCATCGTTTTAAAACAGTCTGAGAAATTATGCTCCTTATCATTACCGATTGCAAAACTCTGTTTAGAGGGGAGAGGGTATGATTTATGATTATGTGCTGCGGGTTTTGATGACGCGTGAATGACAGGTAATGGTTTTGATTGTGTTCAACTATTATAATGATATAATCGCTCAGCTTGGTTTTCATGTCGATCTCGGCTGTGGGTCAGGCCTTGGAGTACAATTTGCTGTCAACACTCTTCATTACTGTTCATGTTCTTTACGGAGGAAAAAGGCAGGGGCGCACTGAGTGACATAATTACATGGCAATTCAGGTGAAAGCATCCCTACAATAAGAGGCGTAGAATTTTCTTATTATAATTGCTAATTCCCATGAGCAGACAATGCGCTCGACTGTTACAATGCAACCAATCGAGAAACGGGTAGTCGGTCACTTACCTGCAAGCAAGAGTGACAGTATGGTGTTCTGATATGGTCATACCAGAGCCGGCGAGATTTACAACTACGCTGCCTGTAATGCGCATGAAATCATCCCCCTCGTTGACACTAACGAAGAAATGCTAGCGATTGTTTTGTTTATGGACTAAGACAAGAATTTTGTACTTCACGATGTTCTTAACGCGCCGGCAATTGATGATGTGCAGGATATTGGAGCAGGTGTTAAAGAAGATCCCAGTAAGACTTTGAGGATTACTGTCAGATGGACCTTCTAATTGTCATTGTCGATGCGACAAAATTTTCTAAGCTTTCAACAGCATGTCACTTGCATACTTCAAGAGGAAAAGGTCAACGCCGATGGGAACAGTCAAGCTGTTTGCCGGGAACAGTATCAGTCAGTTCGTCAGCTTCGATGACCGCTTATCCTTTCGCATCGCTGAGGTGGCGATGTCACA